GAGAGAGAGAGAGAGAGAGAGACCTCTCGATCTTCACAAAACCAGCTCCATCTGGATGACAGACCTAAAGGTATAACACACAGGAGAAAATCTAGATGACCTCAGCAGTGACTTCTGAGGTTCAACAGCAAAGGCACCACCCACAAAGCAAAGAACTGATAAACCGACTTCGATAAAATTAAAATTTTTGGCTTGGCAAAGGACACTGTCAAAAGAACAGGAAGGCAAGACACAGACTGGGAAAAAATATCTGTAAAAGACATATTTGATAAATATTCAAAGAAACCTCAAAATCAACAAAAAGAACACAAACCAACTAAAATTGAGAAAGGTCTGAGCAGACACCCATGGAAGAAGACACATAGGTGGAAACCCCGCGTGTGAAAAGATACTCCAGTCCTGTGTCATCAAGGAAATGTGAACAAAATGACAAGGGACACCAGCAGGCAGCTGCTGGAATGGCCAGGGCCCAGAACTMCAGATGCTGGGGGACAGGGGCAGCAGCAGGGGCTCTTTCATCCCCAGCAGGAACCAAGAACCGAACAGGCTCTTGGGAAGACAGCCAGCTGCTTCTTACAAAAATCATCTCCCTCTTACCCCATAAGCCAGCGTTCACACTGAGGAATTAACACAGACACTGCACATGCAGGTTGACGGCAGCTTTCTTCATAACCCAAGTTTGAAGCAACTAGGATGTCCTTGAGTAGGTGAGTGGCTAAGCGACAATGGATGTCACTCAGCCCCGGAAAGCAGTGCTCTAGGCCATGAAGAGACCCAGAGGAACCCTCGGGGCACATTCTAAGTGAAAGCAGCCAGTTTGAAAAGGCCATACGTGTGTGTGACGCCACCTCCAGGACATTCTGGAAAAGGCAAGACTATGGAGCCAGAGAAAAGATCCCAGGTTGCCAGGGGCTGGGGGAGGGACAAAGAGGCAGAAATGAGTGATTTTCAGGTAAGTGAAACTACTTTGTATACTACAATCATGACACAAAAGGCTAAAGCCACAGAAGGCACACACCACATGACCCTAAGGGACACTACAAACTTCTGTAGATAAAAGGAGGAGCTAACTCCTCCTCCCCAGCACACAGACCTGACCTCCCTGAATTCTCTGTTTACACTGTTAATAGCAACTTTCTTCCAGCCTGTCTCATCTTGCCTGATCCGGAGTCCCAGATATGGCCAAGGGGCCAACACCTTCCACTCACCCAACTCTGACATCAAGGCTCCAGGGCCCGGCCCTCCACTATCCTTCCAGCCCACTCCTAAGGTCGTCAAGGACAGCTGCAGCTCCTGGCCAACACTCATTGTCACAGGGTCCCCTCACAGCCTCACTCACACCATCCCACCACCAGAGGACTCTGGCCCTGGCTCACAGCCCCCAGCATGGTTTCCATGTCACACGTGATCCTATCTTGCTGCCACTGACCAGGACAGTGAGCCACATGGAGCCACAGGGTGGATGGTATGCTGAGTGAAGTGCACACGAGGTATCAAACAAAAAAACCCGGGAACAGAACAATGTGCAATTATTTGCAGTTTTCTTTATAACTGCACATAAAAATGTAGGTGGAAATTTATCAAAGTGATAAATAGTTTGTACTGAATGGTAAAATCGTGGATGAGTTCTTCTACTTTCCTAGAATCTGAATTTTACTTATCATTCTTTTTAAAATAAACTTTTTATTTTAGAATAGTTTTAGATTTACAGAAAGTTTTCTAAGACGGTTGGAAGAGCTCTTGTATATGCTACATTCACTTTTTCTTATTATAACATCTTACATTAGGATAACTATAGGGGCCAATCATTAATGTGTTTTCTAAAACTTAAAAATAAAACCCTTAGTTTTGTAAAGCCAAGAAAACAACATAGGGGAAAGTGTTGGTCCTTCTATGATCTCTCAACTCCAATTTAAATATTGACTATTTTCCTCATTTTCAGGGTTACTTCAGACCCTGCTTGGCGTGGGTTTCTGACTACAAACTGGATCAATTCTGCGCTTCCTCATTAGCCATGTGCTTGTGTGTGTAGAAGAGTTAAGGATGTCACTGTCTGGCGATGAAGATCACAGGAAATGTCCTCTGGATCCTTTCAACAGAGAGCCCACCTCCTGGGATCTCATCTTCTTTGCAGTCCTCCCCAGCAAATCTGTAAGTTCTGCCGGGGCTCCTGCCTCCCTTCAGCCCCTCCTGCCTCTTTATGTCCAAGAGCGCTCAGTCCACAGCTTGGGACATGGCTAGGTGGTAGAGAGCTTGCCTGGCATACAGGAGGCCTGGAGTCCTCCCCAGCACCACACACATCAAAAACAGAAAACCTGAGTTCAGATGGCCTCAGATTACATAGTCAATAATCAATAATTGCAGGGCAGGGCAGCTCCAGTACTTATGGCTTTGAGTGAATGACTCAAAGAGGAGGATAATTCCCACAGCTTTGTCTTAGACATCAGATGTGACAGGAGTCAGAGAAAGGCGGTTGAAATTAAACCTTACTGGGATAGGATATTAGTGTTCAAATCAAGAATCGTTTCCAGCTTGTTTAAATGTCTCAACTATAAAAAATGGAGGGTAGGTTGCCTTTTTTCATTTTTTTCCTCTCTCTCCCTTTTAAATGTTTCTTCCCTAGTGAGTTTTCTTTGTTCTAAGTGCCAAGTTGGTTTCAAAGAATCTTTCTGTCTCTAGCAGTTAGAACAAATCCTATAGATTATAAAAGAAATAGCCAACTGAAGTAGGTAGCTTTATATTCCCACTTTTACCAGAAGAAAAGACATTTGATTTTAAAATAGAACTTCAGAAGTCTCAAATAGATCTTTCCTCCTTTTCTTTAGTTGATACATACATTTTCATATTTGAGGGCAGTCCTTAGTGATACAGCCAGAACTGTAATACTAATGTTAGGGAAAACATTGATCAGCGTTGTAACATATATTCTACACCTAATCTGAAGCGATTTTGGAAAACCCCTAAAAGTAAACTAAAAACACATCATTCTTTTCAGTTTCAAGGAAACCTATGTCGTGTCACAAAAAAAGGTAAGGAGAAAAACTGTTAAAGATATTGAAGGCTACTAGGAAGGGAAAATGTTTACTTTGGGTTTATTGAAAAGTACAAATTCAGCAAGTCACTAGGTTGACATTTCGAGGAAGGTGCTGACTGTGAGGACTGGGAGGAAGAGTCCCACATTCACATTATGTGGCTGAGTCCCACATTCTGCAACTGAGCCCCTGCTCCCCCCATTAAAAGCACTACTGCCTATGCTTTGCAATTAAAATTACTTATTCTAGCAAATACTATGTAACTTTGCTTTACCACAGAGGTGATCTGCTTGCCCAAGAATATCATTACTGAAGATTTATTACAGACTGATGTTTTTAGAGCAAGACCAAACAAAACTTGTTAAAAATCAACTTGGTTTATGAAAGGAACAGGTATGAACCAGCCTGTCTTGGGGCAAGACATGCTTCTGAGACATTTAATGCTTCAACCAGAGCTTAGCAGATTTCAGGGATTGTGCAACTTTGCTGGTGTGCTTGAGGGAGAGCCTGAACAGAGGTGGGCCGGGTGGGGCAAGAAGGAAGCCACTGGAAGGATGTGTAGCCAAAGGGCAGCAGCAGGATCACAAGCAATCCTCCCTGGGTTCTGCTGCTATGGCTATTTTTTTGGTTATTATTATTTTTTTGCACAATCTAAACTTTAAAATAATAAATCTTTTCTCGTGATCGGAACATAACGAACACTTGCTTTTGGGAAACAGATATCATGTGAAAGTCTTACATCTGAAGAGAGATCAGTAGGGTAGAGCAAGCAGATCCTGGGAGGGTGGTGGGCAGGGACAGGGAGGTAGGAGGAATAGGATTTTCCAAATGAAGTCACACCCATGTGTGAAAACAGCACAGCCAGTCCCACTGTAGTGTATGATTATAATGCCTGGATGAAGTAATTTTTAACAAAGGATAAACATAAAAACAAAACAAAATTTTTTGACTTCTGAAATCTGAAAAAAGTAAAATTTTACAAACCTTTATAAAAATGTTGCATTATGCTATCTAGTTTTGTGGTGTCTTAAAAAAATTTCACACCTACAACCAACCACATGAAGGAAAGCTACTCTGTGTGCTCACACACACAAAGTGTTAAGTTTTACTGTGCTTAGGAAAACAAGGAGTTCTGTGAGAAAGTATGAACTCTTTGAACTGTGTCCTTGTTGCGGTCTTAAGAAGATAAAAGAATGATCTGCCAAGTGTAAAATTTATACATATGTGTGTGTGTGTGTGTGTGTGTGTGTGTGTTTGCCTGGGAATAACTCGCCACAAGTTAATTGATAAGAAATACGGAGCACTGTGACCATAAACAAAGTTTTCCTGAGAATATTTATCCATGCTTGTAAGGATTAAGCTGCCGAAAGGATGTTTTTCCTTTCCCCTTGTTTTTATTAACAATGCTGTATAAAAGAAGGAGAGAAAAAAGTAAAGACGGTGCTCATTTTCTACTGAATGTGTGTGTGTGCATGTGTCTTTCTTAAACATCTCTGCTGTACCAGGAATTACAGATTGTCAGCGGGTCTGACACTACTCCATTTTCTAACTCACTAACATTAATTTTCTGTTCTTTGCAAATTATATGGTTATTAGAAGTAACAGAGGTTCCTGATTATACTGCCTAACTGGACACTTAGAGACCATTTTCCATCTTACTTCCTTATGTAGAAATCCCGTTATTCATTCTTTTTTTTATCATTTCTTTTTAGGTGTAGTTGGACACAATACCTTTATTTTATTTATTTATTTTTATGTGGTGCTGGAATCGAACCCAGCACCTCACACATGCTAGGCAAACGCTCTACCTCTGAGCTACAACCCCAGCACACACACACACGCCCCCCAGCACCCCTCCTCCATGTTATTCATTCTTTATGTTTAAGACTATTTGGTCATTCTTGTAATCCTTCTGGGTGAATTACCATGTAATTGGAGGTGATAACAAACAGTTGAAATTATTCTTACCTGGTCTTGCTCATCAGGATTTGGTGGGCTGTTCAAAGTAACCGTGTCACACTCTTCAACTGGAGGGGAGGGAAAAAAAAGACTCAAAGCTTGAAGAAAGCACCCACTGTGTGTAAGACCCAGGATGAAGTCCTGACATCATGTGCCACCTTGATGTCACGTGTGTCATGTGGGGCCCTGATGTCTCATAAAGCAGTGAGGCCTTGAGTGGTGGCCTACAGTTCTCTTCCCAGCTCTTGCTAAGGTTGGTCCCACACGCCTCATCCAGGGATGAGGCACACTTCTGCCCACACTGAGCAGCAGGTTTCAGTTCCCGGCCAGCTCATGGAATTATTAAACCAACCACCATGTCCTCTCACGGGAACCAGAGGCACCCCATCCTGTGGATTTTACAAAGCCCTGGCTGTCCCTTGTTCCCAAAAGCAACCTGGTATGCATGGTGCAGGGTCCTTCTCCCCATTTGTGAGTATGTGTGGCTCGCAAGCCACTGTCTATGTCATCTGTCCAGGGCCAAATGTCACGTGTTTGGCCATCACCAGAATCTTAGGATGGGATCCCTCCCTGACCATGGGACAAAGAAGAGGCCATCAGGCCAAATGTCATAATGAACAGGATGGCATGTCCATGACGACCCTGTCAAAATGAACAGGATGGCCCATCTTTGACGACCCTTGAAAACATTTGGTCAGATTTGATTGACTTCTCTTATAACTAACTTTCCCAATACACTGAAGGCTGCCTGGGACAGACACCAATGCTGATGGACTTGAACTCTGGCCTGGGGTGCTGCATTGTTTTTATCTTGGGGGTTTTCTCATCTAAAGTGCCCCCTCATCCCAAATGAAAACTGCTATGAACAAGAGCTGGGTGTGGAGCACTTTCAGCACCAGCCTGCATCTGGCAGGTGGTCTCTGAGCACCCACCTGCTCAGGCAGTGGGAGAAGAGCACCCTATCTGACTGCTGCTTAGGTTCTACTGCTCAAGGCGGGAGCTTCCTGGGTGTTACGTTAGCTTGGTGACCACACTGGCTACCTGTGCCATGCATGATTCCAGACATTGCGATCATGTACTCCAGTACCAATATCCGCAGCACCAATGTGGGGTGTCCCTTGGTGAGATTTACAGAAGGCAGAATTCCACATGGCACTGGGTTGATGCTGTCCAGGCAAGGGCAGTGACCCTGTCTGTCCCTGGCTGCTGTTCCCCTTCCTGCTGTGTATTCTCCTGACCCCTAAGGGCATCAGGGTGCCAAGGCCAGCTGCGCTTGGGTGCTGATGACAAAGGGCACGGGGTATTGGACACACCACTCTTCTCCAGGGGCACAGAACCCTGGCCGAGAACCTGGGCTCAACTTAGGGCCACCCTCTGAAGGGTGAAGTTTGCCTTTGGGGACTCACGGCCCAATCCAGACCACAGACAAACCCCTGGGATCGGATGTGGACCCCACCCCAAAGAGATGTATTGGCACTCCCTGGTGGAAGAATCATGAGGGTAATTTGTTTAACACACAGATTCTGGGCCCCTAAAATAGCATCAAATTCAAATTCCACAAAGCTATTAACAATAAAGTCACTCTACTTCTTTCTACCTTTTCAACTCACTATATGATTTTTTTGAGAAATACAGGGAAGATTAGAGCTGGCCCACCACAGAAAAGGAAATGGCCAGATCTTGATTGATTTCTGGGACACCCATCTCCACCACTCCTGGTCACATGTGCCAGGCACCCTTCTGCACCCTGTCAATGGTGGCTGAGGTATCAAAATTCTTTGGAAGGCRGGTCACACTTGCTCCAGAGCACTCAAGCCAGCAGTTTCTATGAACAAGCAGGATCTGCGGGAGTAAAGTGAGGCCCGGTCTCACTTGAGTCCTGAGTCCTGTGCCTGTACATACCCAGCAGAGCCACCGGAAAAGAGGCTCTGCAGAATAAACACGGGAACCCTCAAGACCTGGGATGAAAAGGAAGGTCTGCATTTGACCCTAGTGATGGGAGGGGCTTAGTAATAACTCAGATGCAGATGGCTCAAATTACACTAGGTTCCTCGGTTGACTTACGGTAAACAACTCTACTTTGGCCTGTGTTTGAGAACCCCTTCCTGCTGTTTGTGAATAGAGCAGGGATATGACAATAGGATAATAAAGACTGTGAAACATGCTCAACCAGCTTAGGAAAATGAACTTTGAGGACTTTTAAGCCATATGGAGATTATTTATTAAAGCTAATCATACATAACTCCTCTATGAAATCAAGAGTCTCCCCAAATCACTCAAATGTTGGAATCCTGGTGGGTACTTAATTTGATTACATTTAACTTGCAGGTCTATAAATTAGTCTCTTTACAAATCCATATGGATTTACTTTCTCCAAAAACAACTTTAAATACCAGAAATGTCTAATGATGATATTGTCCCCATTTGTGGAATTAAAAGAAAAATATGAACAGACATTAAATTGTTAGATTACTAAATACCAATGTTGGAGTATGATTTCAACTTCTAACCATGGTTCATTTACCTACACAATGATGTATTTATCTGGAGATGAGCAATTAGGCATTTAATATTTTTCATTGTGAATAAGGATAAAGAAAAAGTCTAAGGTATGGTTATCAAAGTCACATTTCCTGGGCACTCATAATGGCTTTCAGTTGAGGTTTTGTGAAATTCAAATTCCAGGAGAAACCCAGCAGTACTACAAGCATGGGACCGGGTTGCTAAGTAACAGCCTATTCCTTTCAAAACAGGAAATCGCAATCAAAGACTGATAAAAGAAGAGCTTGAGGTAGATGCAGCTTGACACTGCACCAAGACAGTCCCACCCTGGCTACTCTGCTTGGAGGGAGCTTTTGAGAGTCTTCTGTCCTGAATTCCCACCATTCTTTGGCCATCTTTTCCACCACTCCTGGTCACATGTGGCAGGCACCCTTCTGCACTCCTGTCACTGAATTCTCATCAGCACCCTCGGAGGTGGGTGCTCACCTTGTCCTTTCGGCTCCACAGATGAGGAACTGAAGACCCTGAGACCTGGAGTCATTGGGTACTCTGAGCAGCCCCAGCAAGTCCTCTCCTCTTTGGTAGGCTCTCAAAAAGCTCTGTCCCCATCCCACAGCTGTGAGCTCACAGGGCAGTCCTGGGTCTAATCCCAACGCCCCTCCCCACCCCGACCCCCCAAAAAAAAGCCATGATCCCAGGACAGCAGGGCCCAGGATCTGCATTTCAAACAAGCTCCCCTGATGACTCCAGACTGACTGCAACTCAAGTCTGCAAACCAAGCACTTTCCACTTCTGCTGAGATAGAGTCCCATGTCTGGGACCCAGAGATTCTGAGGTCATTCATGGAGAGGGCAAAGGAGAAGGGAATGTGTTCCCCCAGCACAGCCTGGGTCCTGATAGTTTTTTCTGTACACCACTGCCACTCCAGAGGCATGTACAAGAGAATAATAACACTCTAACGGTGTCACTTCAAGGGCCAGCAAGAAAAACTGGGGGTAGGGGGAGGAGAACCTTGGCCAAACCTGGACTTACCACAGACTGGCCCAGGTAGGAAGATCCCTGTGGTCCCCACAACTACAAGAACTGCCGGGGAAGCCCATGAGAGCAGGGGCTGGGCAGGCACACCTCCATGGGGATCAGAAGCCAGGTGCCCCTGTTGTCCCTGAAGCTGGACACAACTAATGGTCCTTACCCCACATCATCTCTGGGTGGTCAGCAGAGTACAAGGTAAGTGCTCCCATGTGACAACCAGCAACTTAGGCTCTATAACATGTGACTTGCAAAGTCATAGTGTAGACTTTCCCTTTCTCCTCATTCAGTGTGAAAATACTGAGTGCATAGTTTCTCATCTCCAAATAAAAAAGAATGAAAAACTAGGGTCTCGCCCCCAAATGGCCTAAACCTGAGACTACGGGTTATAAAAGAGCTTCACTGGTTGGATTTTGTGCCTGGTCAGCTTCCTCTCTCCCTTGATGGCCACAGAACACTCTTTCCTGAGGTTTGGGTAGAATCTACCTCATGCCCATCCTTATCTGACCATAAGAACCAGACCTGACCAACCTCCCCTATCTTCCTGATGGCAGTAAGTGACTCGGGATGGACACAAGACCCAACCTGAACCCACACAGTCATCCCTACAGTGGTGCTATGGGTTCTGGGGAGGCTCCCCCCTCTGCCCTCTGGAATAGCACAAACCTGAAGCTGGCAGCGCAGGGGACCACCCTTCCCTCCAGGTGGGGATCTCCTGCCCAAACCCAAACCATCACAGAAGGCAGAGCCCTGAGGCAGAGAGACTGAGTCCAGGAGCCTCCTTAAGCATTTGGACCCAGCAGGACGCAGGGGACCCTGAGCCAGTAGGCCCCTCCCCTACTTTTAAAACCAACTTGTATTAGATTTCTGTCACTCAGGATAGAGATCTGGCTATCTTCATTTTATGCTTAGTAAAAACCCCATTGGAATTTATTTTATAAAATCTGGTATAAAATAATTTACACATTTTAATGAATATTCATTTGTGAACTTTTTTCAGGCTGACATATATATTTTTAATTAGTTATTTTAATTAGTTAATTAATTAACTTGCTCTAATCAGTCATACATGACAGCACAATGCTCTTCGATTCCTTGTACAAAAATTGAGCACAGTTTTTCACTTCTCTGGTTATGAACTAGGGTCACACCATTTGTGCAATCATACATATACCTAAGGTAATGATGTCCACTCCTTTGTGAACTTTTTTAGTCATGTAACAGGTGAGAAAAATTGTCATTGTTTCTGTTTGACAACTTTAAATAGTGAAAAATGACTTAGACTAGTGCTTTGTTCGAGATACTAAAGCGTCACAAATTCAAGGAGTTACATTAATCATACGTACCTTTAGGGAGTCCCGTGTCTTGAATGGGATATTTGTCTGACTGTAGAAACCAACAAAAGAGAAGAGTTATTTTTAAATGTCGGTTATAAGATCAAAGTGAAAAGAAAGCTTTGTTTTTCCATTTAAAACATGCTTTCAATTTAAAATCTTGGAAATGCTTAGTCTTAGATCTATTAGTCCAGATCCATTGATTGTTTTTCTTCTCAATTTATAGAAAGAAAATCAAGGTTGACAAGAAGCTAGTGTTGAAACGTGAAATAGAAAAAGGCTCTCTCTAATTTCCTTGGCTCTGACCACTAAACCACACTTCCTCTTTTCAACAGTGCTAATCTCCCTATCTCCTTCCTGCAGTTTAAAGCATTTATTTCCTGGCGTTATGGCGGCAGACTCATTTCTTCTCTCCATTTCTGTGGCAGTCTTTAGAGCCAACAAGCATGTGTTCTGGGCAGTGCTGCACTCTGGTTTGAATCATAGGACAGATCCCAAGGTGACCTGCCATCACCTGCATGAGATGGCACTAAAGCTCAGCCCCTGACCGGCACAGCTGCCCAGCCTCAGTGGACTAGTGCAGGGTAGTCCCACTACAGGAAGTTCAAATCGCAAATGCTCTTACGATCACACTATTTAATTCCCTCGTACCTATCTGTTGGTATCTAATGTTCCAGTAACTTGTTTCAGATTAAACAACGCAGCCATTCTCTGAAGACTTCCGGGAGAGGAGTCCCTGTCCTGCCCCAAACCCTGCTTGGCTCACACTCCATTGTCCCCTGTCCTCCATCCTAAACAGTCACTGCTTCCACATGTCCGGCAGGTCCCACCGGGCCCTTTGACAAGGGGAACATTAGCACAAGTGGCCTGTTTCAGAGCCTCTCCATGGAGGTCCTCTGAACTGGGCAGTTAAGTTTCAGGACCTGCAGAAGCATCCAACTGTCTCCCAACACAACTAAATAGGTCAGAATCCACCGCAGACCAAGACCCTGCCCCCAGGAAATCGGCTCCTCTCCTCCCCATTCCAGAGCATGGAACACCCTGTGCTCTGCACTCCACAGTCTGGTTGGAAAGCACTCCTCATTTCCTCAGAGAGACAGTGAGTTTTTCCACAGAAAGGACTATGATTGATGCACCCCCAGACGTGGACTCAGAAAGACCGTGTGGATGAACACACAGGTGCAGGAGTGCAGGTCTCTAGAGGAATCCATGCTTGAGTGAGGCGAGCCCAGACCCAGCACATGGGTGAACCCAAAGGAAGGAGCAAGGTCACTGTGAACAGCAGATGCAGCAGGAGCAAGGGGACCCGTCAGCCTGAATAGAGCTGTCTGCTGCAGATGGACAGAGGAAGGTGAGAGACAGCTTCCAAGAGGACCATGACCGCAAAGCCCAGGGATTTACATACAGGTTCTCAGGAAGCTACTTCATCGAATGTCAGGTGCCATCTGTCCTGTGCCCAGCTCTTCACGTGGAAGGTGAAAAACATGGTGTTTGTGAAGTCAGACAGCCAAGTTACTAGAGAAAACGTAAGGGTGAGGTGACAAAGGAGAGAGCACTAGAAGGTCCCAAGAAGAGAGAACGCACAGGAGTCAGTTGGGAGGAGGCAGGGGACATCCTTGCCAGAGGGAACAGCATGATTGGTGTCCCAGGAAGGTGTGAGGATGTGCCGTGGCCAAGCCCCAGCAGACAGATCTGGCTCAGCAGGTGAGCTGGAGATGCTCAGATGAAGCCACTGAGGACTCACCTGCCAGGCCAGGGAGGATGCATGGCGTCCCGCACACAGCAGGGATGTCACGGATTGGATTTTGTCTCCCATAAAAGGACATGTTGAAGTCCCAGCCCCTCATATCTCAGAGTGTAGTCTTATTTGGAAACAGTTGTTATGATGTAATTCAATAAGATGAGTTCATACTAAAGTAGGGGGGACTCTTAGCCCAATAGGACAGATGGGGTGTGGTCAGTGTGGAGAGTTGCCTAGCATGTACAAGGCCTTGGGTTCCATCCCCAGCACTGAAAAAAAGAAGAAAGAGAGACTGTGGCGAACACAGGAGAAGAGGCCATGTGCTCACAGTGTGAGATGCAGGGGAGATGTCCAAAGCCCAGGAGGCCCAGGTGGCTTGCGACCTCTGGCACTGCCCACACCCTGACCTTGGACTTTAACCTCCAGGCCTGTGACAGAACACAAGCTGTCGTTCCAAGCTGCCTAGTACGAGGAGTGTTGTTTCCATAGCTCTGGGAGACTAGTAACAGAGACACTTTGGAGAGATCACTCACCTCCAGGGTGGAGAGGTGACCAGAGGGCTCACATAAGTGGTGGGGAAAGGGGCTCCGAGGAAGGGCAAACCTGTCACCAGGATGTGAATAGGAGGCCTTGACACTCCCCGTGGACCAAGGGATACTTTACAGGGTAATAGACTGTATCTGAGAGGATCCCAGTCACAACCCAGGTTGTTCTGCATTGCACTTGTGAGGCTGAGAGAAGTTTTCCTTATTACTTTTCCTTATTACCACTGTGTGTCAAACCTGATCCCCATGCCACCCATGCTTACCAAACTGCAATGATGACCAAAACCAGACAGCAGGTCCTTGGCACACCAAAGAAGGAAAGCCACTTAATCTGATGACACTAAGTGTATCTTAGGTCATCGGCACTTTCCAGGTCTCAGTGGCCCTGTCTTCAGAAGCGTGGAAGAGAAGGAACGTGTCGTACACTGTACCCACAGAGACAACTGTGCTGGTGTCCAGGGCCATGACTGGGTTCTGAACAAGAGGCACAGGACAGCGGGGCCCCTGCTGTACACATCAGCTAACTGCTACTTCTCACCTGTGAATGGGGACAAATACTTGCCCCAGTATCTCACAGTCTATTTGGAGGGTGAGAAACAATGCATGGAGAATCTCTGGCAACCCAAAGCAGTAGAGAGTGCAGGAGGGTCGGGAAGGCAGGCCAGGAGCCAGCTCTGGAATTAGAGGTGACACCAGAAGCAAATCAAATAGCACTTGCCAATCTCTGCTCAGCTGCTGCAAAAGAGTCCTAAATTTTTTTTCTTCAATCTCACATTAAATATTTTGAGTTTTGAAGATGGGTTAGTAAAAAGTAGGACCAATATGGGCTGAGGGTATACCAGTGGCAGAACACTTACCTGGCATTTGCGAGGCCCTGGGTTTACTCTTTAGCAACACACACACACACACACACACACACACACACACACACACACACTCAACCAGTATTATTAAAGTAGATAAAAACCTCACAAAATCTAAGAAGGTCACTTCTAGTGTGCATAAAACAATACCATTTTAGCCTGGAGAAATCCAAAGTTCATTATGCCATATAAATAAAGAAGTTTCTCTTGGAAGAATCTTGCTGTTGGGTTTCTAGACCTCACACAAATACTTTAATGAAAATGGGAGAGAAATGCAAAACAAGGGGTGTGGCTATGAAGGTAAAATGTGTGACCTACCACATGAAAAGATAAAGTGCTGGGGTCCGTGTCTTCCACTGGCTCCTTTGCCATGTGATCTGCAGAGAAAACAAAAAGAAAGCATTTTCCCTCATGGAGAAGCACTCGTGGTACCTCGGGGTTATCCTCCTACCAGTGTGAGCTGTGGGGGGCAGCAGGGGCTGGAGAACTGCTCCCTCTCCATCCCCTGAAGGCCAAGTGAGGGGCGGAATCAGACTGTGCTGAGAACAAGAAAAAGAAACCTTGCAAAACACAAACACAAAAACCTATGCTATTTTGGAACAAGTCACCTAAAAATATCACCAAATAATCAAATTATGCAGATGTGATATTGACGACTTTTTACATGTTGGATTGGACATAACTTTGGGCAGGAAAGATTTAACTCTGGATTCAGCTTCTTTCTATTCTTGGTAGTTTTTAATTTTTTTATATCATTTGAGATACTAGCCTTCCTTAGAACATATAACCTAGCACGAGTAAGACTGAAGGTTTAATCCCTGTACCAGAAACAATAAAATTATATGCTGTTATGATTTGAATCTTATATATCCCCCAAAGCTAATCCCCAGATGAGCCTTGGGAGGTATTAGGAGTGGGGTCCTAGCTGAGGAAATATGTTGCCAAGGACATGTTCTTAAAGGGTGTATCTTGTCACTGGCCCCTTCCCATCTCCTTCTGCCTCCTGGCCTCTGTGAAGTGAGCAGCTCTGCTCTCCCATACCCCCTCCCAGGCCCAAAGCAATGGAACCAAGTGACCATGGGCTGAATCCTCTGAAATTATGAGCCAAAATAAATCTTTCCTCGTTTCAGTTGGAAACAAGGAAAGGTATTTTGTCACAGCAATGAACAGCTAACATGTACATGCATGAAGCTTTTTGATGTAGTCCATGGGAACTTTAATAAAGGAAATATACCTCACAATATTTTTATCAAAAATTGATCTTGATTTCTTAATATTTTTCTTCTTATGCTTTGTCAATGCTTTTTTTTTTGCAATTAAGAAATCTAATGAGGAATTACAGAAAAAAATCAAATGTGGAAATATAGAAAAAGGTATGGGCCTCAATCAGACTACTGCCAGATCATATGAATTTGTACACATAAGAAATAGCTCCCCTTTTCTAAGATGCTTTAAAAGACACCTGCCAGAAAACCATAACAATAATCAAATCTGCTTATGCAAGGTCTTCTAGATTTGTGCAGTATACAACCTGTATCTATCTACTGCCAAATCTCAACAGCCAAAACATTCACTTTTTATCCAAATTCTCATTAAGTACATACTGTACATTAGGCTCTAGGTCCAGGAATACCTCTAGGGATCCAGGTGAGCCTCATAGGACAATTTTGTTTTATTGATTTGCTGCATTATAGTTTTATGAATAAAAGTGGAATTTGTTGTGATACATTCATACATGCACATGATATAGCTTTGTTAATATCATTTTGTTGTTCCTTCCCTTCTCCATCCCTTCTTCTTCTCTCTCATTCCCTTTCCTTCACTCCACTGTTCAATGGAACCATTTCTTGAGACAATCATCTGTCTGTTCTTCCTGGATGTTTCCCTGCTAAGAGAAGGTCTGGACTTTCCTTTTTTTTGCTCCAAGTGTTGACAATGTCCAAAGGAGATGCTCATGGAGGCAACATCTCTATTTGTTTTATGATACCAACAGTCATTGGAGAGAAGTGGGGACAAATGGAGAGAGCTTTGGCCAGGGTCCTCCCGTGACAAGGGACCATTCCCTGGTTCCAGCAGAGCAGATAGCAGTAAGACCACATTGGAGAAGGCATGGAGCAGATTAGGCCCTAGCTCAGGATCCACCCAACAATGTGGATGACTGTGCATGGTGTCCAGAAGACAAGATGTCCTCTGACCTCACAGGACCTTTCAGTGTGGATAGCATGGATCAATGCCTACCTGGAGCAAAGTAAAGCCAAGGTCCCTCCTAGAGTCCAAGCACCATATTAGCCTTAGGTCCCTCATGACCCTAAGGAGGAGCAGAGTGCCAGTTCTGTCTGAAATGGGATTTCCTGCTGGTCTAATGTAACACAGACTCAGATTTGAAATTAAAATGACATAAAGACAATAGAAGACAAATTGTGTTGTAATTCCACCCTGAGTTTGTAGAACTCCTGCTGCCCAAGTAATCAGGAACCAGCATAGGGCACCAAGTGCCTGACAGTGGAAGAGAAAGTTCCACAGGGCAGTGGAGCTGATGCCTGAGTCCTCAAGAGCCAGCTGACCAGGAGGAGCTGACAGGAAGAATGTTCTAGACAGAGAGATTGGTGGCCTGTGCGTGTCCTGGGGACAGGGCAGTGGAGCTGACGCCTGAGTCCTCGAGGGCCAGCTGACCAGGAGAAGGAGCTGATAAGAAGAGCATCCTAGACAGAGGGACTAGGTAGGCTGAGGACAGGAGAGGAAAGAGAATGTGCTTTGGTGGGTCCTTCCAGCCAGACAGCCCAGATCTCATTTCCTAGTTGTTTTATTCCATGTTTCTCACAATCTCAATCCTGGCTGGGGCAGGGGCAGGAGAAGCCACCATTAAGCAGCTTCAAGTCCCTTTTCTGCTTCTCCTATCATAGCATCTCCTCAAATATGTCATCTTCACTGAAGGGATCCTGGATGTCAGTACTTTAAAATGCCACACACCAGCAGCATGGGATTCTAGCAGGTGTCAACACAATGGGCTCTCAGGTGCGCAGCTATGCAGAACTTGGGGGGCAAGGGCTTAATTGCCTCAACCGCTTCCGGTAAAGACAATAGGTTAGTCTTGTTTCTCACAGAAGAATTAGTATAAGAGGAAGGAAAAAGAAAAAGACTTGGAGGAAGATGGAGGAGACCACTGGGAAAGGCAGCAGAGAAAAGCAAACAGGATAGCTAAAGGGAGGAGTACTGGGTTAGGTGTGGAGGTCTGGGCCCACACCAGCACTCCACCGGGAACCAGAGCTGGCCTTGACCAGCCTGGTGCTTGACCTCAGACAGGCCTGGATATGACCTTGACCATCCTGGTGCTGTGACCTCAGACAGGCCTGGATGCGACCTTGACCACCCTAGTGCTGTGAACTTGACTAGCCTGGTGCTGTGACCTCAGAGAGGCCTGGAGATGTGACCTTGACCATCCTAGTGCTGTGCCCTCAGACAGGCCTGGGTGTGACTTTGACTAGCCTGGTATAGCCTGGTGCTTGACCTCAGTCAGGCCTGCAGCCTTGGACCAACCCAGTGCTGTGGCCCTAGAAGAGCTGTTGGCTTTCCCAGCCCCAGGCTTTTCCTCTGCACAGGACAAGCCCAGGTCTCTCATTGCCATATATCGATGGTGACAGTTATTCTGGTCAGGCCAGGTCTGGCACTCTGCTGCTGCTCAGGCCCTGAGCAACTTCAGGGCCTACTGGGGCACATTTGGGAGGGTGATGAGGTTGGCTGAGATACAGGTGGAAGACAGGGCCTCTTGCATTGGTCTGACACCTCTGGGAACTCACAGAGGCCGAGAAGGGAAGACAGGTGGAGTTCAGGGTTTCCTGTTCTAAGTGCAGCAATTGGTGGGGGGTGTTGAGGACTCACACCAAAGGCATTTCAGGTCTCCCTTCACTCCAAATACTCTGACCATGGCCCCCTTTGCCACATAGGGCTGTGGAAGAATTCCAGGGTCCCAACTGCCTGCAGACCCAGGCCCATGCAGTATCCCATACTCTGAATCTGCTCTAGCACCTTCTCTGGACAGTTGTTGTAGGTCAGGCTGAAGTACTTCTATTCTCACAGGCTCAGAATTTTCTGTGCCAAGGAAATTACTGAGCCAGGTGGGAAAGCTGCTCCCAGTTGTTTGAGACTGATCTAGAAGAGAAAGTTTTCCTAAGATCTTATCTACAGACCTTGGAATTGCATATTTGCAATACTATTAAGTATGAAATCAAATTGTTTATTTAAAGCTTTAAAATGTTTGTTTCCACAATTCCCAGGGAGCAGCAGGTGGAGTCTGCCAGGCAAGCTCTGGTAGTGCATGGGACATAGGGCACGGAGGTGCAAAACCGGCCACCCTGCCCAAGCTGGTGGGGCTCCCCTGCTCCTGTCATTCAGTGCCTGGCCAAGCCTCCCTCCCAAAGCTGCCCAGACTCCCCAGGATCACGGCCTGACCAAGCTCAGGTCGACAGGGCTCCCAGGCTGCCAAGACACACAGCCGGCCTACTGGTTGGTCCCTGCTGAAAAGCGGCAATGGAGTGGGGGAGCAGCAGCTTGGGTAGGTTGGAACTCGGGTGGCAAGCGCGGCCCAAGGCCACTTGGAGCAGGCAGAGCAGGCCTGAGGCAACTCGGGCCAGCACCAAGGTGGCCAGGGCAAGCCTATCCATCACCCCGCAGCAATCTGGCCTGCACACAGTGGGGATGCCTCTGCAGATGCAGAAGTGCACTCTACGCAGCGGGCAACTCCAGATAACCCACTGAGCACGTGCAATCAATTACTTCAACCTCCAGCTTCAAGCAGGGAGAAAAGGGAAGCAAGGCAAACCTGAATGGCATTCAGAGCTGACCAACACCATCGGTAAGTTTAGAGACCAGCGTGCTCCATGGGAAAGAGCGCCGAATGCAGTTCCCTTGCAGAGCCCCTGTTCCTCAAGATATCCTGTGACCACACTAACCTATCTTGGTCTGTGGCTTTCAGTTCTTGAACTCCTAAGACAAGAACCTGGAGAGGAGAAATTGAAGATGAGTTGCTGGGCTGCTCCCACACTGGTGGGCGTGGCCTGCCACGGGGAGCTACCATCAGCTCTGGGCTGAGGTCTGTAGCTGGTGCAGTCCCACCCTCCAGGAGAAGCAGTGAATACAGTTTGATCCTGAAATGCTTGTTTCAGGGTCACCATCCTTGACTGACAATGGACAGGTGGGACACTTGGGATGAGATTGGTGTGCACTTCCAGGAGCACAGTCAGGAGAGCAGTGGGCATGGGGGGTRGGGTGCAGTGCCAAACTGCTCTCAGCCCGGGGGCAGCAGTACCTGGGGACAGGAGGGCTGTACAGCCATTTGGTTTCTGTGGACTGCATGTGCCTAGCCTGTGATGTCAGGGCGTGAGAACCTCTGTCAGCCCCAGGTGTGAGTCTGTGAGTGGTGTCCAGCAGGACTATACAGGTGAAGGGCATCCCTAGGTAAGGGCCCACGGCACTGCACATGAGCAAAGGGCTGTGGCGCGCTCCTCCCTTTTATCTGGTGTCAGGATATCCTTGACTAGGTCTTTTCCCACCTTTCCTGGCTCTTTACTCCCTCCCCAAGGCAAGACAGGACGCAGCAACCTCAGCCTCCCCACCTGGCTGCCTTGCAGCTGGCCATGAGGAACTCCTCTGACCTGCCTTGCCTGACAGTGGAGCGGGAGACTCCATTTGAAAAGGGTCCTGCCCCACACCTGGGAGGGGACAAGCTGCAGAGAGGCCAGGAGTCTGTGCAGAGGCCTTGCTGGGTTTCCCATCCAGTCTATAAGTGGCAGAGCAGACCCTGATGGTTTGGATGTTAAATGTCCCCTAAAGGCCAGGTACTAAAGTCTTAGTCACCAGCTTGCAGGGCTACTGGAAGGTGGTGGGACCCAGTGGAAGGATGCTGGGTCACTAGGGCATGCCCTTGAAGGGGATATTGGGATCCCAGCCTTCTTCTCTGCTTCCCAGCTGCATGAGGTGAACAGGTTTCTTTTACCATGTGGGTGGCCACAGGGCCAAGTGACCCTGGATTGAAACCTCCTCCTCCTCCTCCTCCTCCTCCTCCTCCTCCTCCTCCTCCTCCTCTTCCTTCTTGCACATCTCTGGCCCTTTTAAAAAGTATTTTATTTTGAAGCAGGGTCTTGCTACGTTGCTTAACACCTCACTAAGTTTTTGAGGCTGGCTTTGAACTAGCAATCCTCCTGCCTCAGCCTCTGGAGCTGCTGGAATTACAGGTGTCCACCACCATGCCCAGCCAACATTTCTTCCTTTAAGTTGATTCACTCATATATTTTGTCATGGTGAGGAAAAACTAACATACTGTTTTAATCAAGTTTTTTGTTGCTGGGACCAAAAGACCTGACGAGAACAATGTAGAGGGGGAAAAGTTTATTTGGCTGTTTCAGAGGTCTCAGTCCAAAGGTGGATTTTTGCTCTGATCCAACGTCAGGCAGAACACCATGGTGGCAGGGCTTGGCAGTGGAAAGGGCTCAGGACATGACAATCAGGAAGCAGAGCACTCTGCTCACAAGAGGCAAAACATAAACCCCCCAAGTTTATGTGACCTACTTCTTCCAGTCACATCCTCCCTGCCTATAGTTATCACCAAGTTAATCCATGTTAGTGGATTAATCCATCGATTAGGTTAAAGCTCTCGTTTCACTTGATCATTTCGCCTCTGAACTTTCTTGCATTGTCTCACACATGAGCTTCTGGGGGACACCTCATCTCTAAACCATAACTCACACCCTCCTTGTTTGACCACACTTAGAGACAGTAGGCACAGTTGTGCCTACAACAGTGAAGTTGCCACAACAACCCAAAGGACAGGGTTCAAGGAGCTTCTGGATGGTTGACCACACCAAATGCAGGTTCCTGGAGAGCAGTGCCCAGAGAGGGCACAGAAACTTTGAGCCCCTTGGACCCCTGCATCTCTTCCAGCTGCTCAGTCAGAAGCAGGGGTAAAGCGATCTGGGGTTTGCAACTGAAGGTGCCGTCCGGGGACAGAGTCCACAAACAACCTGTGGGACCTAATGCTGTCTAAAGGCAGGGTCAGAGGACACCCAGCTGGGGCTTGCTTGCTTGATTATGGTGACAAACTCAACACTTCTGAGGTCACAGAAGCCTTCTAAGTGGACTGCTGCAGTGTGACAGTGTCTCGGTGAGGCCTGACAGTACCTTGAGGAAGGGACTAGAGACCCCTCTGCACACACCCAGTGCCAGGCTCACAGAGAAGTGAAAGCCAGACTTCAGTCCCAGACCCGCTGGCTTCTGAGTCCGGCTGTTCTCCAGCATCATCAGCTTCTAGAGCAGCTCAGGCACTGGTGTACCACCATTCACACTGACCGTTCCCAAAGGGACGCAGCCATGCTGGCTTAGAACTCACTCTGATGACCCTACTTTAACTCGATTACCTCAGTGACACTTTCCAAAGTAGGTTACATTCTGAGGTACATCCAGGGCCCTGCAAAGCATTTCAGGGGAACACAATCCAAACCTGTAACAGTCTACCCTGTGTCCTCCAAAGTCACATACTCACCACAGGCAGATTGCATGCACTATCAGGACCTCCCCCAAAGCCTCAGTCATCCCATCATTGGCTCTAAATCCAACACCTCCTCCACCTCAAGACCCAAACCAGAAGCCTGGGAGGGAAGGTGGTAGGGTGGGTGAGTGGAAGGGGCTACCTGCCCCCAGGAGAAGTCTCCCTTTGTTTGCCACACACTAGAGAGGGGCCAGCTGCTGGAAGCAGCTATACACAGGAAGCTCAAACATCTTCTCCAAAGATGTCCTTTAAGAAAACAAAGAGGGAAGCTTGTCAAAGGTTCCGGCTTTCTGAGCCACGAGAGTGAGGCCCTTTGTGCTTTCTAGAATTAAATGCAGCTCTTTGAACCAGTGACTTTTTTTTTTTTTTTTTTTTTTTAGTGCCATAGCTTTCTTCCAACCCAGGACTGTTTTCGTGAATGGCTCTCAAGAAGCCTGGAGTCCTGTGCCACACAAGCTCTTGGAACCAGGGAAGGCTGCAGTACTGCCAATGGCCTCTTCCCTGGCCACAGGGCTGGACAGGTGTGGAAGGAGCGGGGGCCAAGCAAACACATTTCTACAGGGACAACTAGAGTGGCCTTGCCCAGTGACTGGGACCAGACTGTGGAAGGGCAGGGCAGGGGAGGAGGGAGAAGAGATGAAGCAAAGGGGCGTAAGGAGGTTCCTGCTAGTGAAGAAAACTTAGGAAGCCAAGGTGCCACAGAAAAGCAAGGGTAGGAAATGAAGAAAAATTGGGCAAACCCACAGGGCAGGGAACAGGAGAGGCGAGGCAAGGAGGAAGGGAGGAGAGAAGAGAGGAGCCCCTCTCCTCCTGGCTTTAGAAGAACAGGCTGGTCCAGCATTGTGAATGTGGGTGCTTCTGAGGGGTTCACCTATCAATCGTGGGTACTGCCCTCTGTGCTACCTTGGACCCACATGCACCCACAGGAGGGCTGGGAAGGGCCAATGGCAGGTGAGGTACCTTCAAAAGGTTGTCCTGAGCTGGGGGCTGGGCTCCAGGGAGCAGCCATGCTGTGTGGTACACACAGGACCCCAGAACAAAGGGAGAGCTGCTGCCATGCTTTGTGAAATGGGTGCTCAGCTCACCACAACAGAGCACCAAAGTCTGCACATCCTCAGCCAGACCTCAAGCCTCCTCCTCTGTTCTGTATTTAACATCCTTGACTGACAGTTCTGGTTCAGCCAGTGCTAGATTGTTAATAGTGGTAGAGAGAGAGAGTGACCACTGCTCTGTAAACAGCTAACCATTTCCCTTCCCTGTGACTTCAATAGTCTTGTAATTTTTTGTGTGTAAAAGCTGCTTTTTAAGCTAACTTCATTATAAGTTTATATATATATATATATATATATATATATATATATATATGCCTTTATTATATACATATAGAAATATACACATCTATTTTCTTTTTAAGCTTTACAAGGTAAATTTAGTTACACTAAACTGATGAATAAGTTCCTAATATATCAATATGGGAAAAGCACTTCCTTTTTTTCTTTTGGTACCAGGGATTGGTACCAGGGGCACTTAACCACTGAGCCACATCCTCATCCTTTTTTCATATTTTATTTAGAGACAGGGTCTCACTGAGTTGCTTAGGGCCTCACTAAGTTGCTGAGGCTGGCTTTAAACTTGCCATCCTTCTGTTTCAGCCTCCTGAGCTGCTGGGATTACAGGTGTGCACCACCCGCTGTGCAGAGCTGGGAAGAGCACTCTTTGCCCATGGTTTGAAGCATATTTAACTAAACTGACCCTCACTGAAATAAGATTTTGTACAGAGTAACTGTGCTACATACTGTTCCAGGTATTAGAGACAAGCTCCGTGAAACATGGACTTTATCCAGGAGCTTACACTACAATGGGAGAAAGTGACATTGACCAAACAATCATACAGCAGGCAGTTCCAGGATGGAAAGCATGGGGAGTGCTGAGTGTGCACCACATGGGGCCCAGGCTGAGTCAACTTTGAGCTAAAGTCTGGAGGAGATGTAGGAGGTAAAGTGCAGAAGGGAGGTGGAGTGTCTAGGCAGCAGAAATAACCTCTGCAAAGGTCCTGGGCCACAAGAGTGTGATGCCTTTAGAGGCAATGAAGGCAGGCAGTGTGGCAGCAGGGCCCACACA